GTCCCGCCCCGAGCCCCGGGACAGGGCGCAGCAAGAGGTGCGCGGTACCGCGGGGCCGTTGGGCTGCAGAGAAACACGGGGAAACGCTCCCCAAGCGTAGCTCCGTGTTCCCGGCCCCTAAAGCTGCGAGAAATCCATGGGCCAGAAGAGGAGAACCCCGACACGAAACCAAGCTTGAACCTCTGCCTGTGGCAGGGAAAGTGTTTGTCTCCAGGGACCTAAAAGTGCTGTCGTCGCCCCTACAGAACTACCACAAAGGACCGAACTCCCTGCCCTGATTCTCCTTTGGGGGTTCCCTTAGCTCTACACACAGACCGTGCCTGGGGGGACACACACGCTACCGCGGGAGCTGAGAACCGCCCCGCTAGGGGTTTACATTCTCGCCCCTGCTAATCGATTGCTTTCCTTCTGCTCCACATTCCCTGAAAGCTGTGCCTGCTTAGAGAAAAACAAAGTAAACAGCCCGAAAATGCTTCACAGAATTAGATTGCAGGCACCCAGCCACCTGATAAAGCCTCCCTGCAGACATTCAAAGGGGTTACAATAGGTACTTCTGTTTCCAAACAAGCAGAGGTATCCCAACACTGTAATGCCAGGGACTACACAAGCTTCTGGAGTCCAGTGTTTCTGTTTGACACCAGTGAAAAACAAGCAGCTGAATACTTGGTCCGGTTGCAAACAAGCTCTCAAAGATAGCCTGGGCCAACTGATGGGTTTGTAGCCAAGACACAGGCCCGCAGCACTAGATGCTATTTCTGGCTTTCCCACAGAGCTCCTTCTGACCTTGGCCAATCTGTCTGCTTCCCTTCTTTGCGCTTTCCCTTCCTTTCTTTTACATGGGGTACAATCAAACCTTCCTTCTCAGAAGAGGACAGGGGAGCTCCCTTCTCTTAAAGTGCTTTGAAATCACATGGAAACCATTAAACACATGAAAAGTACTTCTATGCCAGGAAGCTGGACATTGTATTCAGTATTTGATGAATCATTTCTTGGGGCAGTGCTGGCTGGAGCAGCAGTCCTTCCCTTCCACTCTCAGATGTTTCCATCTTGGCACTCCTCTCTCAGGCTGCTACAGGTACTTGTGTGACAAGCAGGCTCAAGGTGCTGATCCAGCCCAACTTTTGTCCTTTTTTTACCAGGTCATGCACACTGTAACCCTTTACTGCCAGGTCACTTGCTGCATCCAGTCCACAACACAGCCACAGACAGACAGACAGACAGATGTACCAGCTTGACAGAGAAGCAATGAGGAAAACAAGTCAATCAAGCAACACTACCACTGAAAATGAAACCATAAGCCTAAGCACTTGTGATTCATGCTTTAACAATATGATTTACCACTACAGTAAACTTAGTTTAATAATGTCAGATTAAAAAAACTGCAGCAGGTTGGAACAAAAAAACAAAAAACCAAACCAAAACAAACAAAAGACCAAAAAAACAAACCAAACCAAAACAGAAAAACCCAAACAAACCCACAAAAAAACAGCAACAAAAAAAACAACTAAAACCCCCCAAAAAACCCCAACTGTGTGTGTCAGTCCTGCCCAACATCAGCTGTCTGCTTTCTGGCATTATGCTCATTGTCTGCACTGATACTCAGTTACTGCATTCCTCCTACTGCTCTCCAGTTACTCTCTGTGAAGGCAAGGCTAACTGGAGTGAGCAAGAATTGTTAATAAGGGCTATTGAATCAGGCCTTCTGCTTGTCATAGCTCTTCATAAGAGATTTTATGTGACAAATTCCATTCAGTCAGAAGCTGCAGAGCCATACATGCATTCAGAGGCACAGTCTGGCCAAAACAGTTTGCAGAGGGCTGCCAAGCTGTACCATTAATTTCTTTTAGCTCATTTCATGAGACTAAGACTTCCATGCCATCTTGCACAGAAAGCACCTCCTCCTGTACATACCGATACAAGAACTGCAGGCTGGGCAGTAATCTCTGTGGAAACAAACCTCAGACCTTCCTAGCTCTCTCTCTCTCCTGTTACATAACAAGATAAATTTGCACTTTTCATTACACTCAGCCAAGTTCCAGCAAACAATCAGAGTTTCTCGTCCACAGAAGGACAATGGGGAATGTGGGAGAAATGCACAAACTTTCATATTAAGGTAAAGATCAAAGTATTTTTCATGACTTACTTCTAAGCATAATTTTTTCTCTTTCATCTCTAGCTTTCCCCAGGATGAGGGAAGATTTATGCCTGGCAGTTTCACAGAGTTAAGTTTAATAGGATGCCAGGTAGCAGCTGTCAAAGGCAGATTCTATTGCTCTTTCTGCTCTTTGGGAACAGGGTTCCTCTTCTTGCTACACTTTTAGAGACTAAATCTGATTTTTACTTCTAATTTTAGAACCAGTTTTACCTAATAATTACTTCCTAGAACTTCATTTTATAGTAACTACCCAAACTGTAAGTGAATTATTAGCTCTTCAAATACATCCGCACATAGTTTACATGTAAAAGTCTGTAGATACACATACAAGTACCACAGCACATAGACACATCCACAAACACTTAATAGGAGGAAATATACACTATTTTTAGGAAAAGGGGATGTTAAGTGTCCTCCCTAAACTTAGCGTGAACCAGTTTCAGCTGTGAGCTGGTACCTTTCTGCTGTTTACTTTATACGGGTTCCAGAATGAACGTCTGCTTTTTCTCTCTCCTGTCTGTCAACTGCTCTTTCTTGTTTGTTTGTTCTACTTTTTCACCTGTGGAAAAATTTAAAGCGTATAGAGAGGTTTTTTTAAAAGAAAAATTTAAAAAAAAAATACAAGGAAACTAACATACACTACAGCATGCTGTGCAAAGGGGGACAACCACAGACCTATAGCTCTGGAAGGACTCCACAGGTCGTCACCAAACCCACTGTACTCTAGCCACAACCAAGTATGTTCAGATGTTCCCAGGCAAAAGTTCATCTAACCTCTCCTACAGAAGAACTAACACCCTTTATACTTAATCTTACTAAATAAGATACTGAGGGGAGTAAACAAAATAAATTTTATAATCTAAGTGTTCTTTCCTAGCCACATTCACATGGATGGCTTAAAATTGAAAAAGTTCACCATTGCCCTTCTTGTACATGGCTGTGTGTCATGCTCCCATAACTTCTTTCATCTTTCTAGGCAAACCAAAATAATTATCAATTTTTTTTTTTTTTTTTTCTGGTAAAACTAATTTTTCTAAACCATTTTCTGCTTCCTTCATAAATTGTGGTGCCTGAAAATGAAGACAGCACACTCTGAGGGCTCCTCCACCATGAACAGAATATTAGAGCAATATGTGCATAAGGCTTAAAAAACCTAAAGCATCAAGGGCTACAAAACACTGTTAAGTACCTGCAAGTCCAACAAAAGCAGGTCTTTTTACTCCTTCGCTGCCTGTCTGTATAATGAAAATAACTGGGGATCTCACCTGTAAAAAGCCTTCTGTAAGTAACAATAACCTAGAAACAATCCAAATAAAAGAAAAACATCAGGGCTGCAATAAAAGGATCAGATGTTGAGTTTATGAAGCTGAGCAGAGTATAACCAAAAATCAAGACAGTGACAGTCACTACAAAGGAGTCAGTGTGCACTGTTGCACCCCCCTGCTGACATGTTCAAGGAGAGGCTTCCCCTCCCCCTTCAATCTGACAGCATGAGCTATTGCCGAGTAAATGCCAGCCACAGCCTCCAAGGACTAACAAGGAAGTCTGCAGAAGCAAAACGAACATATGTGATACTTGAACTGGTTCAGACTGGTTCAGAATTTGCTCTACTAACTCAGAGTGCTTTCTCAGATGAGCTTTCTGTGTGGGCTGCAATAAAAGGATAGAGGCCTCAGGAGGACAATCTGGGTCCTATTGTTTACTGGGGAAGAGGCACTGCAGCTACACTTTTCTCGAATTAAGAGATTAGCACTGAATACTCTCAGCAATCACTAATTTAAGACATTTCACACACGGAGTCCTCTCTAACAGCAACACTCCTTTGTCGTTTTTGTCACAAACTGCCCTGTGCCTTGTTGCAATTCCCTCAGATGGGCCTTCAACGGGCCCATCAGCCCACAGACATTTGTGTTCACACTGGCCCACAGTGCCTGTTGTAAAGGACCTTGGCTTGGATCGTGGCCCTTAGTTCTTTTCCCTGCTGGAGTCTTCTGAAATGAGTATCTAGACCACAACTGCTTTTACCTGCTATCCAATGGGTGTGTCTTCTGGCAAGGATACTACAAAACTGCAGCAATATTATTAGGAAATAGGTACAGCTGTCTAAAGATGTTTCAGGCCCCACTTGCACTGTTGTGGCTTTTTGTTTGTTGTGGTTTTTTTTTTTCTACAGAGGGAGGCTGCTATTGACAAAAAACAGAGCAAGCATTGTTAAGTGTGGAGGAAGGGAAGTTGTTTTGAAAGATACTGTGAAGTGCTCAGAGAAGACACAGGTCTTGAGTCAAGAATGAAAGCCTTATGCTAAATTCTTTCACTGATTTGCTGTTTGATCTTAGGCAAGATTCTGCCTCAGTTTCCTATGACAATACTACTGATGTCACAGATCCAGAAAGGATTACATGTCTGGAAAGTGTTTTGAAAGCTGTATACATGCAATACATACCTTATTAAAAGGTATTCAAGGGGAAGGAATTCTGAAGAGGGATGTGCATGGAAGGTTTTAAGATGTTCTCAAGTTCCACATATGCAGTGCTGACTTAGATGACAAGCACAAATAACCACTGATGCAGGAAGAAAAAAAGAATGTATTGTGTTGATTGTTTGCTTTTTTAAGATATAAAATATCTTTGTATCTTTCTTAAGTCACTGTGCACTTAAGTCATTGTGCAAAACAGTAACTAGCAAAGCTAAGCAGTCAGATAAACCAACATTCATTCCT